ATTTTGCCACAAATTGCACGTTTGCTTAACCGTAAAACCAAATTTCAGAACATTTTTTTGCATAAACCAGTATCCTGCGCGTAAAAAAAGACCCGCACTCGTGAGTGCAGCACAGGTAACCCTCATATTCCTGCCTATTGATCCGAAAATTCTGAAGAGGTACCGATTCCTCTCTCCCTCCCTGCCATCAAAAAACCACAGAATTATTTCTAAATAAGCGTTATCCAAGAAAAGCTTAACGATAAACGATAGGCTTATTATGACTTACTTCGAGAAGCCACGGTCTGAGCGTATCATCCAGCAAAATATCTATTCCAAAAAGCTCATGACTGGTGAACGTGTAAATGCTATGCTTCTTTTGATGCGTTCGAATGTGACTCTCGCAGCTGAACATTACCACGATAAGTTATTAATAAGTGCATCAATATCATAAATTTCAAATTAGCGATGTGCAGACACTACGGTCATGCGAGAAATTAGAATGCGATATGCAGGGCATGTTACTCATATTCGATGAATACCGCGTACCAGTTTGTGGTACTCATACGAAAGTAAACTAGCATTCCAGCAGAACTCGAAAAGCAGCACACACACACACAGCACACACACTCACACAAACACACACACAACACACACACAACACACACACAACACACACACACACAACACACACACACACACACTCACAAACAAACAGGCGGCTCGTACTAACTGAAGGCATGACAGCTCAAGAAGAGCCTAAAGAAGATGCTCCTGACGTGTCGGTCGATGTATCCTCGTAACACCGCAGTTTCACAATTATTCCCCACAAGCTGATGATGGGTTTCCCATGTAGCCGTATTCTAGATTTTACTGCTAGAACCTTCTCTCTCTTTTCTTTCCTCCTGTTCTATTCGCCTGCCCTTTTTTCCATGCAGTGTTCCTTCTGTCCGAGCGACAGAAATACGTTTCCCCTAGCTAAATAAACAGCTAAAAGTCAAAGCTGAGAAAAGTTATTCGTGCTGACAGTTATACTATCGCACATTTCCAACGTCTCTTCCATCGTGGCAATAGCAAATGTACAACGAAAAAATAATAAATCTGCTTTTCTATCAGTTCCTAGAAGTAACAAAAAAAAAAACACCGAATTTCTACTAACAGAATTAAGTCTTTTTTCTCTCACCTCCCAGGCTCGAGAGGAGCTGCTTTCTATTACTACCCAGACCATTTCATAGTAAAAAAAATGTGTTGTGCAGATATGCCAAGCTGCTTGTGAAAGGGTGCTCTAAGATGCTAAGAGTTTCATTCAAAAACATCAAAATCCCTTTAATATTCATTTTTACAAAAGGATGAAGACCGCTCAACAGCAGATCAAAAGCCTGCCGACGACTCTATCTTCTGGGATTTGCATATAAGTAAAAATCGGTAGCCAGTTTGATGCCCTGGCATGTCACACTAATAATTTAGCATCAAAACGATTGAACAAATTTGGATTTGTTGTCACACTGCCCGGATTAAACACTTAACCTTCAGCATAAAGGCAGTTCTTCTTACTACTTCTGTATGATATCCGCACCCAGAAAT